CACTTGCTGATCTGTTAGGAATTTCTGGGTGACCTTAGATGCATGCGATGGGGCAGAGTCCTGATGGAACACAGCATCACCATTAGGGTACAATCTGCAGTAATCATCCTAAAGAAAGGGCTTTAATATCTTCTGTATGTAATACTCAGAACTTATTTTGGCCCCAGGTTTCACAAACCGAGGTTTGATCACACCATGGGCGGATATGCCCATCCAAACCATTACGCCTTTGAGATGAGGCACCTTGGTTGATGGTGTCAAATCTCGCCTGCTCTGCCCACGGCTAAGATATTGAATTTTAGATTTAGCATTGGTATCAGATAGATAGATCCAAGCTTCATCAGTTGTAATGAACTTTCGCCATCTGTCCTTACGGAGAAGCTTGCAGAGGGGCCATGAACGTTGCCTCCTAATCTGCACCGATCTCTCACTTAAATGATGACATTTAGGTTTTTTATGGCATTTTTTCTTCAACTTTTGTTTTAGTTGATAGCTTACAACTTGCTGACTCACGTTAAGAGCTTTAGCCATGCTTGCCTGTGTTGGTGGATCCGGTTTTGATGTCATCTTATCAAGCTTCTGCAAATCTGATTTCTTCAATTTGCTTGGCCGTCCACTTTTTCTCGGTTTTGCATTATTTTGCATCGATCCGAGTTTCGAATTCTTGATGCGACTGATATGGCTGAGTGGAACCTTTCTTTTTAAAATGGGTTTGTATAATCCTGTGGCTCCAGTGAAGTTCTAAAAATGCTTGTACTTGACCAATTAGCTTTTTGTCAAATTTCTTCAAAGGCATTTTTGTGATTTTATGAAATAGTATTGCAATTGAAAGTCTAATAGCAGAGCTTTAGATCAGTAAGCTATATATGTAAAAAGGGTTTAAAACTTTAGTGGTAGATAGCCACAAAAGTGATCCCTATACTTTTTTGTTACCCTGTAGAAGGTCTTGGTTATCGAATTCCCTGTTTTTTTTTTGTTTTTTTTCTCTTCTCAAAAGCCACCTTCCAGGAAATCCTTTTTATTTGTTTAAAAATCCCCCATAACAAACAAAAAGCTTTTTAAGTTATTACTGGTGTATAAAAAATTTCAATAACCTATTAGGTTGTTAAATCTTCGANAAAGCCACCTTCCAGGAAATCCTTTTTAATTTGTTTAAAAATCCCCCATAACAAACAAAAAGCTTTTTAAGTTATTACTGGTGTATAAAAAATTTCAATAACCTATTAGGTTGTTAAATCTTCGAATGAACAAGAAGAGATTGAGACATAAGTAGGACTGAGAAATTTCGCTCTTATAAACTCAGGGGAAAAGCTTGAGGAAAACTTTAGCATCAATATGAATCGTATTTATCTTTAAAGTATTATTGCATTTCTTAGTATCATGGCATGGAATAATTTGGAATGAATCAAATTTTTATTGTGATCAATCAACAGCAGAGTTAATTATCAATGATGATTTTTTAAGGGTTAAACCGTAAAACTACTTTTTGCTGTGCCATTGAACACGCTTGCCAAAAAAGTAGCAAATATGTATTTTTAAATTTTTTTTTATTATTATTTCCAATATGTTTATTTAAATTCACGTTTCCTGGTCCGATTAAATATACGAACGCCCAAAAAATCTTCTGAATGGTAATATAAAAGGAAAATGTAAATCCTAATCTTCCTAGAATATAGAATGATCACATTTTGCCTAGTAAACACAACACAGATAAACTGGAAGGTTTCCATGCTTTTTCCGGTTTTTGGAAGTTTGCTATATATTTAGGATATAGGGGGAAAATTTAAGTCTTAATCGTAAAACTTACTATAGTCTGACTATGGAAAGTACTCCCCTAGCCATTCATCTGGTACAGTGGCGGTGACTATGGTTACGAGGTTTCACTATTTCAAGCAGGGGTGTTAGGTCAATATGTAAGACAAGTTTTGGCTCTGGTCAGTGAGAGAAATGGAATCAAGGGAAAGAGAAGCTCCCCTCCCCCTTGTTTCCATAACAGCAGACGGCTTTAGACTTTGTGGTAAGGGGAGTTCATTCCATAGTAAACTCTAAAATATAGACTAATCACATTTTGTCTAGTATGCACAGCACTGATACAGGTATAAGCCGGAAGGCTTCCATGCCTTTTTTTGCCGGTTTTAGGAAACTTGGTAACCATTCATATACATTTATTCTATTAGTAACTATCCTGACGCCTAAAAAAAACTTTTATTTTTAAAGAAAGAATATGATAATCCCAAATGTTTTCATTATAGCTATTAAAAGGGTAGAAACGGCGTGCGCGGCGTGTGAAAATATAAGCAAATAAACAAAAGGGGGAAATCAAAAATTTAAATACAAAATATTTACTTAATTCCTTTAAATAAGTTATAATTCTGCCAGTAACTTACATTTAAGTTATTAAATATGAATTATTTCATTACACAAAATGAAAATAAACAATTCATACAACCTTTCTAAACATTTCTTCTGCTTTCTCTAAATTAAAGCTTCTAGCTGAAAAATAAATACATAAATTCATTTTTTTGAGTTCTTAAAAGAATAACTTTTATAAAATATACTTATTTTAAAAATAAAATACATACTTACTTGAAAACGCATACAGCAATGTATAATAAAATAAATTTTAATTATTAATTTATATAATTTAAGACTAGCAAGGAATCACTCCGATTTCATACTGCGTACACAACAGTGTGTCGAACACTGTTGTTCAGAGTGTTGAACAATTTATTCGGTGACACGGTGGAAAAAACCGTAGAAAAAGCCGCCCCAGAAGGAGTAGGTTTCTTCTGACCCAAGGGGAAGATATATAAGAAACTCTTTCTTTTTTTTTCTTTCTTTTTTTTCCTTTTTTTTTTAAATATCTAATATCCTTTTTTCTTTTTTTTTTTAAAAAAAATTAAGTTAATAATTGCAATCGTATTCATTTTCACCAATTTAATACATCATTTTTAAATAAGTAAAACATTGGAAGAGAAAATGAACTTAATAAATTAAAACAAATGTGGTTTTCTTTAATGTTTTACATAAAGAAGTATAGTAGGACTTATTTTATAAACATATAAAGAACTGTTAAATACCGCAATCAAATTCTATATTGTATTGCAACAAATCCTATATATATATTTTTTTTTCGAATGGCAGGCACTGAACTTTATTCGTTTCGCCTTAGAAGATGCCAGAGTTGTTACTCATTTCGCGTTATCCAGTGGGATAACGCGAAACTCACTTTCCACTCATCACACACAACAGAGGACAACATAATAGAGAGAAATATCCATGCCCAGAGCGGGATTCGAGCCCGCGGCCATTGGCTTCGCAGTCAGGCGCGCTAACCACTCGGCCACCTGGCCGGCACAAATCCTATATTGTATTCACAGATTACAAATAGTATCTTTATTTTCAAAACCAAATGTTGTGAGATATGAATACTCAAGACAACTCTTGCAAAAAAGTGCTCAACGAAGTTATCTCTCAATGGATTTTTCATTACAGATTTTATTTTTACATATCTAATCATAAAATCATAAGTTAATAATAATTTATGAAATAATCCTAAGAATTTTCATTGTGAATGTTTTATACATTGGCATTTAAGAAAGTTGCAACCCATCGATTGGTTTTAAATATTAAATAGTTTATTTAATTTGTATCACTTTCTCATTTTTCATTTTTATAATCTAAATTTTTATTTAAAAGTAATCCTAAAAGAAATAAATCGGTTTCTTATCTAAAAAACCATCGATTGGTTTCAAATATAAAATAGTGTATTTCAATTTTATCATTAAAATATTAATTAAAGGTATGAATTGTTGTGATTTATTCATTGCTTCGAATAGGGGGGGGGGCATGATTTCTTTAACTATATATCTTAAAATAATAAAATATTTACTTTATTCAAATTTTAAGCATATACGAAAAGAACATTTGAATAATATTTTTTATAACTTTCATCTAAAAATTTTAAATAGGGAATCGATATTCGGAGACTTAGAAAAAAGTTTCGTTGTGTTCACATTTTTTTCCCGAGAACTAATATGATTTGGTGGTTAATGTCACACAGCTACACTAACTAGCTATTGGCACCGATATGGGATTCATCCTTAATGATTATCGGAAAACACTACTGGCGTATGTGCACACTACGTACATTGGATAGTAGATGGATATAGTAATAATCCGGCCTTTGCACCACACTTCCCAATTGCCTAATCCATCTGTGGATTTTACCGGATCTAAAACCATCAGGATGCTGACACTAGCCACAAGCCATAATAGGCAAAAAAATTATTTTATTGAAATTTTGAGCACTATTTCAAGGTTTCATTTTATTTTATAACCGTCGTTAAACAGCCTACCTAAGATTTAGGTTTACGACTACTAATGTTCAACTCCGTAGCCTGGTAGTTTTGAACCTAATCCAGAAGATAAGGGAACTCCTGGATCAAGTATTGGGAGAAATTTGCCTTGGTAGTGGACTTTTGATGGAACTAACCCGCCTTTGCGTTACATGAAGAGGAAGACCACGAGAACCTCCCACGGTTAACTTGACGGCAAGGGGACTCTAACCAATAATCCGTCTACCACTGAGGATATTTCACGTCAGCACTAGGGTCGGTAAAAACCGGATGCGAAATTCGTATCGATCAGCCATCGCTGGGATTTGAACCCGGCTCACCTCATAACGCTCTATCCCCTGAGCTATCGCGGCTCAAGATTGGGAAGAATTCGGATTTTTTTCTGAGTAGATGCATTAAAAGTAAAATTTAGAGACTAAATAAAATAAGTTGTGCCCAAATTAGAAGAAGGGAAAAAAATCTCCTAGTAGATTTCCAATTTATGTCAGTTTCAGTTCACTGATATTTTTGAAAAATTCATGTTCATTGGCTACTTCTATTTTCGCTTCCAGCCAATTTCGCCAAATGAACTCAAGGACAATACTCCTGAGGTATAAATAATGGCATAAAAATGGACTATAGAAAGAAACTGGATTTTTTATAAACCCAAGCAACCCTTATATTTCATTTATAGGTTGGTTTTAATATAGTAGTATGCCATTTTAAACATTTTAGTAAATATATACCTGTATATATTAGGTGGACCAGAAAGTAATGTCGTTTCGGAGCATTAAAAATTCGTTAGCCTTATAATTCGTTTTTTTTTCGATCCATTTCGATGCATTTCGGTATGTTTCGATACATTTTCGATGTATATACTTTTTTGTCATCATTTTTATCATGATTCTAAAAACCTATATCACGGAACACCCTATCTATGTAGACAAAATATATCTGCATATTTATAAACAAAAAAAGTTACGCACCTTTCAACCATTTCCTATAATATGCATCATCATCGTTAAACTCTGGTCTAACATCAAGATCAGATACTTTTTCACGTAACTGGAATAAATAAATGGAAATGGAATGAATATCAAGATGTTTTAGTAATTTGAAGTCAAAGTTACAAAAATTTAGCTTAAAATTTTTTACATGCTACTAGTTTCCGTATCAACGCTGGTTTGTAACTCTGGCAAAATCTGAAAGTGTTAAACGAAGGGGAGTGCGATGCTCCTTGCAAAATTGAAATTTATTTACTATTTCATATATATATATATACACTACTCTACAATAATGGAAGAGACACTTTCAGTTTTTGACATTTTTTGAAATTTCTCAATAAATACTTAGGAGATTATTTTGTAACTTTAGATGTGTATAGGTCATGCGATTTCTCATACTAATCAATAAAGCTTAAAGCTTTCACAGGTTTGTGGGATTGTCAACAAATCAAAAATGAAAACAAGTATTTTTGAACACTATGCCAGAAAATATAGCAATAAGTTTGAAAGTTATTGCTATATTATTTGAATATTTATATTTTTTGAGAATTTTGAATATTTTTCTGTGATCGTAAACAACGCTACTATTATACAAGAACTTTTAATTTTCCTTTTTTGTTTCATAATTTAGGTCACCACTTCACGATCTTTAATCTGTGTTTTATACGACCGGCGTTGAGCAGTGAGTCCACAAAGTGGATTTGCAGCTTTTTCATGATCAACTTTTTTGCTTAGAATCTAGGAGACAAGGGAACTTAGGTAATTAGAATCATGACTAATTCTTCTTTAAAAAGATTTAAGCAAAACTATCAAGTATTCATGTAAAACGAAGATCTGAACCTCTCATGGTTAATCCGATAGCACTGGACTGGTTCCCACCAGCTTATATTTTGCATTAGCATTGGAGATGTATGCTAGAATATAGAAATCAACCACCTATACCTGTTGCGATCTTTGGTAGATTCAGTCCGACTAGACTGAACTATATCAACTTTCATTTTATTTTACAACCGGTGTTGAAGAGTCAATCCAATTCTGAGTTTACGACTATCAATGTTCAACTCCGTAGCTTTGTAATTTTAAACCCACCCATGAAGACAAAGGAACTCCTGGATCAAGCATTGAAACAAGCTAGCCATCATGGTAGACTTTTTTGATGGAACTAACCCGCATCTGCGTTGCATGGAGAGGAAAACCACGAAAACCTCCAACAGTTAACCCGACGACAAGGGAATTCTAATCCATGATCCGTCTACCGTGAGGATATTTTACGTCAGCACGGCGGTCGGTGCGAGCCATGAATAGAATTCGTATCTACAGCTACTGCTGGATTCGAACCTGGATCATTGGGAGGAGAACGCCTTAACCACTTTGTGCCTCAGAGTTGCCATTAGATTTAGTAAATATTTAAGATGTCAGCTTGATATTTCGGATTTAATGCTTAGTATTTTAAGAGTTCCCTTTGATGATCCCTCTGCTTTTTTTCAAGTAAAAAAAAATTAATCTGATGAAAAGTTAATTAGAGAAAAATAATTTAGCGTTATTTCATAATTTATTAACGGTTATTTTTAATAATTCGAATATACTAAATGAAATTTCGAACTTTGAAGACCAAATGGAGTTTTGAACTACGTTTTGTTATTCTATGTCGTTTCCAACTTAATGCATTTGACTCATTAACTAGTATTACTCATCATTATTACCCTAACCCCCCCCCAAAAAAGAAAAAAGATCGCTTACGAAAACAAGTTTAATAGGGCTAAATTATCTGTGTCAACCAAAATAAATTGTAAATTTAAATATAGATTGTGAAATGAATGAGTTGTCGTAATTTATAATTCCTAGTACTCATTCAAATTGTCAGCGCCTAGTCGTTGGCTCTTTTGGTATCTTACTGATTCCAAGTGAGATATTTTAAGTTTGTTAGTTGAACATTTGTTACCAAGTGCCCTTGAGTCCTTCCATTTCAAAAGCACTAAAAGACTTACTACCGTCCTCCATCGGAAATAAAAGACTTTACAAAATAAATGAATGCGGTACAGTTAAATAAGTCTAAAATAAGAACTTTCCTTTAAGAAATCTCGATTTCTTTAAAATATATATATCCTTCATCCATTCAGATCTTTAAATATATCTCTTTTAAAATTTATTTTGTAACTTTCTGCAAAACTTGAAATTTTTTTTTTTCTAAAAACTTTTACGGTCAACATTTAGCTGGACTATCAGTCGTTTGAAATCTTCCCAAAGCATGCTCAGAATATTAAACGTGAATAATTATAGTCATTACTTTGTTAATTAATTCTTTTTCGTCAACAATGGGTTCACTGACATCCATGATTGAATCTTCTTTTGCTTCCTAACGATAGAACGTATTCAACTTTCCATATCTGAAAAAAAGAAAAAACAATTAAGTTGCCATACAGTTTTCTAAAAAAAGAAGACAAAATCAGATTTTTTTATAGTTTGAATCTTTACGGAAATTTAATCAGAGCTATAATTTCATTCAAAATAGAACTTCATAAAACTTTAATATATGGGAAATTGTAATATATAGGCAATTGTATATGGGAATCGAAATTTATCGAAAATGGCAGCCCCGAACCAGCATATTATTTTTAATGCATTTTTTTCTTTTTCTTACATATTAATGATATTTTAAAGGATACTTTTATGTATATAATCAATATATAGCGGATAAGTTGCATTATTATCAATTTTAATGTAAGTTACATTATTCTTATTTTTTATATTATTACCGTCGTTGAACAGCCGACCCAATTTTTGGGTTTACGACTACTAATGTTCAACTTCGTAGCCTTGTAATTTTTAACCCAATCTAGAAGACAAGGAAACTCCTGGATCAGTACCCCTAGAGATATTGGTTTGCTATGGGAACATGGAGGACTTTGTGACCCGACAGATTTAGCGTGCATCAGTCACCATTTCCGACACTACATCCATTCCTATAAGTCTTCGGTCTGCGGGGATCGAACCAACGACCTCTTGGACATGGGCCCAGTGCCCTACCAACCAGGCTATGCCTGCCTACTTTATTTTTATTGAAATAAAGCATTGCTTTTAAAATTGGTAATTGGTTTAGTAGTCCCTAACCTAGAACGATATATATATATATATATATATATATATATATATATTAAATAAATTTCAATTTTGAAAGGAGCATCGCACTCTCCTTCGTTTAACACTTTGAGATCTTGCCAGAGTTGCCCTATAGACAAACCAGAGTTGATGTTTACGCAAAAGAAGAGTAACGTAGATTTTGAGACGTTGAATAATACGAATGTTATTTATTTTGAGAATACCTGAATAGTTTCAATCTTATTGCCGAAAAATATTTAGATAAATAACTGATAAACTGATAGGCAAAACAGACAAATAGCTGATAATTAAACAAATGACTGATTTAATTTTGCAACTAAATAATATTTTATTTAGCCCTTTTTTTCGTAAATTTTATATCTTTGAGAATTTTGCCCTTTATCTGCTAGTATTAAATTTTGGAATTAGTCACAAAAAAAGGGGGGTTGAGGGGGCTCAAGATTTTAAATCTTTCAGTTTCATAAAATGTCACCAGTATTAAATAGAATTTTCGTATTTAGAATTCGATAGCAAAGCTATTTCTAAACAAGTTTTTCAGACTTATGTAATAATTATCATAATAAACTAAATGAATTGGATAGCCAGTCCGCCATTCATAATTCACTTTCTTCTGAAATGTCCATTTCGAAATTTCGTTTGCAATTTTTTTAGAATAAAAAAACTAATCGAAATATGAACTAGGTGTGCTAAAAACTATGATTTTTCTTAAAACCAACATTTTTAAGACACAATTGATTAAATAGAGATTCAGGTTTTTTTTTACATATCTCATATAGGGAAATAAGGGAATAAAAAAATTTACTTACAAATAAATTGATGAAAATAAATTGTTATAATGCAATAACTAAAAAATAAAACACTTTTCCATGAAAACACATAAATCGCTCATTTGTTTAAATGCGTTATTATTCAGGAAAGGGAATAATAAATTTTACTTACAAATAAATTGACGAAAAAAATTGTTTAATACAATAATACAAAAAAGAGCATCTGAAATTTCAAAATTTCCTTTAGATTAAAAAAAAAAAAAACACCTTCATTTCACAATTGTTTTTTCAATGTTTAAATATCAACATTTATAGATAAATTATGCTACATGATATCATTCATTTAATTAGAAAAGCAAATGCAATAACTAAAAAATAAAACACTTATAAATGAAAACACATAAATCGCTCATTTGTTTAGATGCGTTATTATTCAGGAAAGGGAATAATAAAATTTACTTACAAATAAATTGATGAAAAAAAAAATGTTTAATACAATAATACAAAAAAGAGCATCTGAAGTTTCAAAATTTCCTCTTGATTAAAAAAAAAAAAAACATCTTCATTTCACAATTGCTTTTTCAATGTTTAAATATCAACATTTATAGATAAATTATGCTACATGATATCATTCATTTAATTAGAAAAACAAATGCAATAACGAAAAAATAAAACACTTTTCCATGAAAACACAGAAATCGCGCATTTGTTTAGATGCGTTATTAATCAGGAAGATAAAGAAGATAAGCAATATCTCATCAGGGAAAAAGTATGGAGAAGATATCATTATTTCGCTTTCACATGACCTTAATCAATTCATTATCTTCTCCATTGTTTTATCAAAAAAGCTAAGCAAATTATGGAGATTCTGCACTTAAAAATAGTTTTTGTTTCTGCGCATAAGTTCTTTTCTTATCGATTAATATTGAAAAAAATTGGTATTGAAATTTCAGATAATATATATATATATATATATATTTCTCTTACACGGCGACAAAAAAAGCCTTATTACAACTCCCCGAATGGCAACGCTAGAAAATCGACCAATGATTGCCGCTAAAAATGTCACATGCCAAATCTA